CAAATCATGTGTGAAAGAAGGAAGCGATACAGTGAGAAGGAACAGACACGGGCACAGATTGAAATGTTGTATGCTGAGGCTATAAAATAGTGAGGGTAGAAAAAGAAGCAGTGAGGAAAGAAACAGGTACAGTGAAGATAGTGAGAAAAGAACAAAGTATACCTATCAAAGAGTGTATACCTATGCATGAGAGAAGGTTTTAGCATTCATTCTGATGGTAATAAATAGTACAAGTGAAATAAAAACATAATCAGAAAGGATAAGGATGGTAAAGCAAGCAGCTGAGGAGATTTTAGAGAGGACCGAAGTGAAGTGAGATGAAATACAGGAAATTTTGGAGAAAGGGTTTGGTGGAAGCCAAATATACATAGCTACAGTGTGTAGCAAAGTTTTGTAAATTAGTACATGGCAAGAATATGCCAACAAGTTTTAAAATCACCATAAGAGGAAGATTAAGAGGCAGAATGAGGCGGGAAGGTAGAGAAGGATGAGGCCCAATCCCAATTTCCACCCCAAAGCCTTAATCCCAGAACCCTCGGAGACTTAAGTGATGGCAGCTGGTAAGTGCATGAGTGCCTAAGGCTGCAGGGGCTCAAAATGGCTTAAATAGGAAGTGAACAGCATTTTACGACATTGCATGTTACGTTGATAACGCAAAAACGTGTTACGTGGGTATGGAACTTTTTTCACCATTTTTTTTTTTCTGGTCCCGTAATTTGCCTCGAGCACGTTGAAAAATTTGAACATTTGCAGCAGATTTTGGGCAGACCATATGCACTCTATGCCATTAAAACAAATTAGTTGACACACTGTTTAATTCATTTAAAGGAGCTGTGTCACTATTACTCTGCATGCTCAGAACTTCCATCCCAAGAAATGAACATTCTGCTTGACTGCAAATCATAATCTACGTTGTAATTCCCTCTTTGACAATCCGTCTTTGTTTTGCATTGTATTTATATATTTTAGTTACTCTGGCATTATGTCTTTTATATTAAGGAGCTTTCTATGGAAATTTGGGGATCGAAAGTGTTAGTCTAATCATTTTCTAATCATTTAAACTCTAAATTGAATTGAAAATAGTGCAACGACAGCATATCAAATGTTCAAACGGAGAAACTTTATAGTATTTTGAAAATATGTGCTCATTTTGAATTTGATGCCAGCAACAATTATCAAAAAAGTTGGGACAACGGCAACAAAAGGCTGGAAAAGAGTGGATGCTAAGAAATACTCCAAGTGGAACATTTCACAGATAATTAGGTTAATTGAAAACAGGTTAGTAACATGACTGGATAAAAAAAGAGCAGCATCCTAGAGAGGCAGACGTAAAGATAGCAAGGGCCTCATCACTCCATGACAGTCTGCTTGGGGAAATAGTTCAACAATTTGAGAATACCATTTCTTAATGTAAAATTGCAAATAATTTGGCAACTTCATCGTCTATGGTACATAATATCATTAAAAGATTAAAAGAATCTGGAAAAATCTCTGTACGCAAGGGGAAAACCCAAAAACCAATACTGAATGGCCCTGATTTTCAGGACTTCAGGCGATACAGTATTATAAGCAGGATTCGGTGGAAGAAATCCCTGCATGGTCCCAGGAACACTTCTGAAAACTACTGTCAGCAGACACAGTTTGTTGCAGCATTCAAAAATGCAAGTTAAAACTCCACCGTATGAAGATAAAATCATATTTTTATAGTTTTGCCTGTGACTTCACATTGCGCAAAAGTAGCTGTGGTTACACCCGCTGAGGGTGCTTTCGCATCAGGCACCTGGGACCGGATCGGAGTACAGTAGAACCCAAAGTCCAGTTCATTTGATAAGTGTAAACACATGTCTGCCATACTTGGGCACGGCCCGGGAGTCTGCTTGAAGAAGGTGGTCTCCAGTACGGTTCAGGCGGACTCGCACCAAAAGCGAAAGCAACTGTACCTAAACCCAGAAGTGGACTGCTATGTGACATCCTATCTATTCAAACAAGCATGGCCATGAAAGGATCTCTTTGTTCCAACAAAGATATTAAATACTGTTTTACACCTGTTGTTCACTGTACTGTTGTTCGATTGGCTGTACAAATAGGCCATGGTTACACTTGCAACTTTTTTCATTCGATCACGAAGGACGCATTAACTGTCAGTTAGTCTGTTTGCTCCGGGATCGGACCTTGCATGCATTGAGATCTGATCAGCCAGACCACATGCGGACATGGGGCATGGCTCGCATAGAGTTCAGATCTTGGTGTGTGGATGGTATGTGGGCGCAATCCGGAGAATTTACCAAACCCTGGCCTCTTTTTGCCTTCTCGCAATACGGGATTTCCTCTTCCAAGCATGTAAAGCAAAGGGATAATATAAAAAATTGGAGGGAAACCGACGCTGGAGCATAGCTGAGACCTGCTTTCTTCCCCCACCATAGTAGAAGACCACAGCGCAAGCAATGCTTGACAGCAATTACATAAACAAAGCAATATTTGAGAGAATCGCTGACGTTCCAGCACTGAGGAAAACAACAGCTGTGTTAATCACTCGTCTCTGCTGCCCTTCCCTCAACAAACTGTGTCTCGTACCAGCCCTGCAGCCATTACAAAATAAACAAAATATGGCAAAAGAAGGTCTCTGTTGCTCCATAGGCCATTTAGGATGAACCTATTGTTTGGAAATATATCCTATCAGGCAAGTAGCTTTGAAGTGTCAAGTGTGGACGCACCTGCAAACACTTAGAATACTGCAATTGGGAGAAACAACTGCAATCCAGGCAACGAAACCTGGATATTCGGTTTGTCATGGTCATGTGTTTTGATGTCATGCCTTATGTCATGGTTATGTCTCTTCTTTATTCTTTTTGGTTATTGTATATTCTGGTTTTCTATTCCTGCCATTCTAGGTCTCATTGTACTTGTTCTCCCCTGTCTTGTGATCAGTTGGTACAGTCCATCTTCCCAGTCTGTGTGCTTACCTGCTTCAGGTGATTTCAATGGTTTCTGGTGTTTCATATTATTACTTCAATTCTCGTTTACTTCCTTCACCTTGCTTTCCTAGATTACTAATAATACTAACAATTATATTGTGTATTATAGTCTACTAACTCAACTAATCCATGTATATATTACTAACTTACTAATGAACACTTCGGTTAACTTGTAAGGCTGCACCTCTACTAATTTATCACTAATTCAATCTCAGCAATCGCCCTGTTCTAGTCTCCACTTCTTGCTTTGCTTTCTCTGCCTCTCCCTGCGTTTCCGCGAGATCTCTCGCACGGGCTTAATTGCTTTCCTGCACTCATTGTCTGTGCACTTAGAACTCCTTGACCGGAGCTGTTTATCTGTCATAGGTTGTCTGCGTGGATCCCGTCCGTGTCTTGGCTTTTGCCAATTGTTGTGGTTTAGGACTTCCTCATGTGTGCCTTCCTCTGTAATTAGTTCCCATCCAATTCACCTGTTCCCCGCATAGCATGTGGCTTCCCTTGTGTCTATTTAGAGTCTTCACTGCTGTTCAGCCCTTGTCAGAACATTGATCATTTTTCCTTTGTGCAGAGCTCCTTGTATGCCAATCGATTATTGTTTCTCCACAACCGTTTCGCCCGACCTTGATTTTGCCTAAGCCCTTCTGTTCTTGTTTTTGTCTTTTTGGATTTTTGACCTATTTTCTGTACGACCACATTTACTGTTTTGGATGCCTTGTGTATGACCCTCTGCTCTGGATTTCGACTTCGATTTTGGCCTGCTGTCTATGTACCGTCGCACTTCTGCTTTACTGGTTTTGACCCCAGCCTGTCTAGTCGACTTCGCTTTTTGGATTTCGTTTTTGGCTTGGCAATTCTTGTGTCTTCTGGTCCTGACCCTGCTCTCAATAAAGGCATACGATTTTTGGATTTCCTGCTCTCGCGTGTGGTTCCTGAACGCACCGTCACACGGTTGCCCTTTCTTGTGAAGTATGTTAAACACTGTGGTAAAATCATTTAGTTATATTGATATTTATCACTCACCAATAAAATATTTAGCATCTTTCATTTATATTTTGTGTAATTATGTATATTTTTTGTCAGTATTTATGAAAATAACATCCATGATGAGCAGCCTTGTGTTCCATGAATAGAAAGGGTGTGAGTGGCCAGATAGTCTTGACTAGCCAAGATAAACCAAGTTTAATTTCGCCAACAAATCCCGCCTTCAAGTACGACCAAGTATCAAGGCTTTTGCATGCCTTCGCTTTGTTTATTTCCCCGGCCTAGAAATCAGTTACATGTAAGTGTCAGGACATACAATTCCTGGTCACCTGTTAATGCCTATGGACTACTAGTTCACTACTAGTTCAAGTTGTCAGAATCATTGTCAAGTCCAACTGTCATTCATTTAAGCACATAATAATGCGTTTTAATACCAGTTTAGCTGATTCTCCTGTTAGAGGCAGCAATGTGGCAGTATGTTTTGCCACTCATTCCGAATGAGAATGTTTTGTTGGAAGAGTGAGGTCAATGCGTACCTTCTATACACAAGATGCAGAAATGCTGCCACTTTCTCTGGGCTCAAACTCATCAAAGATTGATCGAGGCAAAGTGTGAAACTGTCCTGTGTTCAGACTAATCAAAGTGTGAAATTTTGTTCTGGAAATAATGGACGCTGCGTCCTCCGGAAACATCCAGCATATTATCAGCGTACAGTTCAAAAGCAAGTATACATGACAGTATGGGGCACATATGATAGTATGTATGCTCATGGCAAGGGTAACTTGCACATCTGAGAGGACCATTAATAAGATAATATATACTTTGAGTCCCATGGGGTAATTTGCCTTTTGATCTATCCTAGAATGTTAAGATCAGTGGGCACTCACAGTGTAGTGCCTGGGGACCAACTCTAGTGCTGATGTCAGAGCCTTGGTCACTAGCACTGGTACGAGTGTTCCTACAGAACATAATTTTGTGGGTAGGGGAAACTGAAATATCCCTGCAAACATGGAAAGAACAAGCAAACTCCATGCAAAGAGGTCCTGGCCGGCCGCGACTCGAATCCGGAACCTCCTTATTGCGAGGCAGCAATGCAAACCACTGTACCACCATGCTGTCCTAATGCTGAACAATACAGGTTTTGGAGCAACAAACAGTACCAGTCAAAAGTTTGGACATACCCACATTTTTCTTACAAGACATGTTAAATAAATAAATAGGTACTCTTTATTTTGCAAAAAAAAAGATCTAATTCTTAAATCCATCAAACTACCAAGCATTTTCTGTCATATTTACAGAGCATGCAAACATTTGTTTTTTTTTTTTTTAGAAGAGCAGTTATTTGGCTATAATGAGTTCGCTGCTGAGCGGCCGTCCAAGTTCCCAAAGATGTGCTGCACTTGTGGTTTGCTTTTCATCAACTTTTTTGCCCAATAAGTTCCAAAACAGCTTGTCTTTAATTTGGCTGTTGGAAAATGAAAGAGCTTGTTTGTCTGCTTACTTTGCAAAATATGGCTTTCTTTGGACACTACTCAAACAACTAAATTATTCTCTTTTAACTTCTGACTGTTCACCTCTTACCAGATTCCATTTGAGATTATATAGAGAAGTAAAGCCATTTAAATTTCTCTAAAAACAGAGCGCCGTGACATTAGCAAAGTGTGTCCAAACTTTTGACTGGCACTGTATACTACCAATGGGATGTCTCTTTCAGGAAATGCTGATTATTTCAGAAAAACAACGCCTAACACCACACTCATCAAATATTACAACAACATGGCTCCATAGTAAAAGAGTTTCAGTGCTAAACTGGCCCACCTGCAGTTCAGACCTGTTACCCACTGAAAATATTTGCTACATTATGAAACTAAATATATGACAAAATGGATTGCAAAGTGTTGAGCAGCTGAAACCCAACATCAAGCACGAATGGGAAAACATTTTGCCTTCAAAACTAAAGCATTTGGTCTCCACAATTCCTAAACACTGACAGAGTGTTGTTAACCTCTTCCACTCCAGACTTGCCATCGGAGGGATTATTGCCCGGCTCTCACGTCACCTTAAAGCGCTTTACTTCTCCAAACCCGTTCTCATTTACGCTTCCGAATTAGCAACTAAGTGTAACTTCTTTCAGTTGCGAGGATCAATCCCTAGAATTGCTGTCTATTTCCCCTCAGCTTACATTATTGTTCATTGCAATAGTAAACAAACATTTTCCAATCCACATTAATGATGACATTAAACATCAATGTCTTTCAAAGCTACGGAATTTCTGTTGCTCACAGAACGGTATATATTTTTTTCTGCGTCAGTATCCGATAGTCTTGTTAGACCTACGAAAACATTTCAAAAACACGGTTTTGCTGAATCAGCTCTGCGTGTTAAGTTTGCTTATGTAAAAATAAAACTCCATCAACAACCAGTGACATTTCCATAATGCAGGTCAACCTGTTTCTGATTAAGAATCAGACAATTAATTGAATTAATGTAGTTAGCGAATAGGCTACCAATTAGCTTGCATAGCCATCAATGATTAAGACATATAGCTTTGCGTCAAAGAGGAAGGCTACAATATGAGATTGCATGGACGGCATTAACTTAAATTTCCCGAAATTCCATCTTAAATAGAATGTTATATTGTAAATGCTGCTGAAGGTGGTAGTTAGATAAGGTTGAGATTTTGTTTCTAATTAATTAATGAATGAATTAATTAGATAATTACCGTTCAAACAATCTCATTTTGTAGTATTCTAACAACTTTCCCAGTAGTTGGACAATAAAGACTTCATCAATGATTTTGTGACCATGACAGATTGATACACAGCATGCATTTCAAATGCATGCCACGCGTCAAAATTTCACCATGCACGAATAACCAATTTAAAAAATTATTCAAATACCAACGCCTTGATGTAAGACGCGTTGGCAATTTAATTAATTAATCGTTATAGCATCTCGGCAAGGAGTGTGCAACTGCTCTTCACCACAAATATGGTGTATTCTTTTGAATGCTCAAAACAGAAGAGGGTTAAAAAAGCAATTAATATATAAGAGAATCAGCTGAAAGAACATTTAGCAAGTTATTAAGTTAACTGGCATCAGGTGTGTAACATGATTGGCTATAAAAGGGATGTCTTAGAGAGGCTCTCAGAAATAAAGATGGCCAGAAGCTCTCCAGCCTGTGAAAGCTTGCGTAAAAAAATGTGCAATACTTTAAAAACAATGTTCCTCAATGTCAGATTGCAAAGGCTTTGAAGGTCTCATCATCGACAGTGCATAACATCATCAAAAGATTCAGAGAAACTGGAAAAATCTCTGTGCGTAAGGGACAAGCCCGATGACCTTTACTGGATGCCCGTGATCTTCGGGCCCTCAGACGCCACTGCATCACTCACCGGCATGATTCTGTCATTGACATTACTAAATGGGCCCAGGAATACTTCAAGAAACCACTGTCTGTAAACACAGTCCGCCGTGCCATCCACAGATGCCATCTAAAACTCTATCATGCAAAAAGGAAGCCATTGTTGAGCATGATCCAGAGGCGCCGCCGTGTTCTGTGGGCCAAGGCTAATTTAAAATGGACTGTAGCAAAGTGGCAAAGTGTCCTGCGGTCAGACGAGTCCAAATTTGGCATTCTTGTTGGAAATCATGGGCGTCGTGTCCTCCAGGCTAAAGAGGAGAAAGACCACCCCTCCTGTTATCAGCGTTCAGTTCAAAAGCCAGCATCTCTGATGGTATGGGGATGCATTAGTGCATATGGTGTGGGACACTTGCATGTATTAAAAAGCACCATGAATGCTGAAAGGTATATAAAGGTTTTAGGGCAACATATGCTCCCCTCCAGACGACATCTATTCCAGGGAAGGCCTTGTGTATTTCAGCAGGACAATGCAAAACCACATACTGCAGCTATTACAACAGCATGGCTTCATAGTAAAAGAGTCTGTGTGCTTAACTGGCCTGCCTTCAGTCCTGATCTTTCACCGAGTGAGAACATTTGGCGCACAATTAAACAAATAGTCCGTCAAAGGAGACCCAAAACTCTCCAGCAGCTGGAAGCCAGTATAAAACAAGAGTGGGATCAAATTCCAATGGCTAAACTCAAGAAACTTGCCTCCTCAATGCACAGACGCATCCACTCTGTGTTAAAAAGAAGAGGGGATGCTCCACCATGGTAAACAGGCCCCTGTCCCAACTTTTTTGAGACCTGTAGCAGGCATCAAATTTGAAATGAGCTCATTTTGTGGATAAAATTGTAAAATTTCTCTGTTTCAATATTTGCTATGTAATCTCTGTTCTATTGTGAATAAAATACTGGCTGGTGTGATTTGAAAGTCATTGCGTTTTGATTTTATTCACAATTTACACTTTGTCCCAACTATTTCAGAATTGGGGTTGTATGTCCACTCCGTTTGCAGTCAGATCAGCAAAGTTTACAGTACAAATAGTGCCGATCAAGGCCGCCCTCATGTGGTAGCAAGATTTCTCTATTAATAGATAACTCTATTCTTAGTTCTTTCTCAAGCAATATGCACATAATAAATAGTATAACCTCTATATACAGTAACTTTGTCCCGTTGAAAGATACACACAAGCAGACTATAAACTTAAAAAAGTTACTCAGAATAGAGTTAGAAACGTTACACAAAATAAATATTGAGAGGTTGATATCCAGATAAATTGTCATTTTAAGTAATCAAGAATGACTTTGAAATGTCATCCAAAAAACTACGTTGTAGATTTCAATCTATTCGCACAAATTTATGAAACAATTCTGACGAGGTGTACAGCTGGAAGCAGTGAACTAGAAAGAGAACTGGCAAAAACACAGTGGCATATTCAGGGTTTATCAAAAAAAAGTTTACACTTTGAAAAATGTCTCCAAAGTTGATATAATATAATTTTCTAAAAATCTGTTATGATGTATTGATGGACCATGCCCTCATGCTCCTATTGATGCCAGCTTCCGCATGAGTGAACACGGGTTGTTTTTTGTTTTTTTTTATAATCCCTCCACCACCACCACCACCACCCCCCCCCCCCACCCCCACCCCCTGAATTACCCTGGGGGTCTACTGAATTCATTCAATTACAATAAATTTCTTAAAAGACCCCACACCCACCCTTTGACTCCCATCACAGCACCATACACCCACCCTTTGACTCCCATCACAGCACCATACACCCACCCTTTGACTCCCATCACAGCACCATACACCCACCCTTTGACTCCCATGACAGCACCCTACACCCACATATACAGATAATACAGTGAAACGACAATAACATAAATTAAAATGTAAATATATACAAAAATGAGTAAATTGAAATGAGAATTAACAGCATACATGCACCGTTACATACATTGATCGTAATTATATATATACATATATACTCATGCTTTAACATTTGTACATTCATACAAACACAGACAAACACATCATATATTAATAGACTCATACATATTTACTGATGTTATTTTCATTCCCATCCTTCTGCTACTCTCAGCGCCCTCAATCTATCCTTATATACACTTAACCTACTGTTTTCATGTGCCATCATACATTCAATTTTACTTTGATGTTTTACGAAGAGTTTGAATCTCTCCGTCCTCAAAGCGTCCACAGATTTTGATTTAAAAATGAAAATTTTGCCAAGAAGTATTATAATATTGACTACTTTTCCGGGGTCATTAGTTAGACTGCCCAGAAGTATGGTGGGCAAATCCAGTGTAAAGTTACTTGAATATAAAGCCAGCCACCTCTGAACCCCTGTCCAAACAGACCTACATAGAGGCAGTACCAAAATAAATGATCCACTGACTCAACCTCTTCGCCACAGAATCTACACAAGTTGGACCCTTCAATTCCCCAAATATGAAGCATCTTTTGAGTGGCCAAAAATATATATATTAATTCAAACTGAAAAAATTTTATTGACGAAACTATTGTTGTTTTGTAAATTAAATTGAAAACCTGGTTCCATGGAATCGGAAAATCTAGCTTATACACGGTTTGTTTATTTTCACCCGATTTAAACTGGCTTGCGCACAGAATTGAGAGAGTTAAAAACGAAGCAAACACTATGGTTGGCAAGTTTAGACATTTAATTTT